TAAAGAATCAAAACCCTAAAACTGAGAAACCCTAAAGCAAATCGAAACCCTAAAACTGAGAAACCCTAAATTGAATCAAAACCCTAAATTCAAAACCCTAAAATTGAATTAAAACCCTAAAATTGAGACGAAACCCTAAATTGAAACGAAACCCTAAAATCGAAACCCTAAATTGAATCAAAACCCTAAATTCAATCGAAACCCTAAAATAAAAACTCTAAAATTGAAACGAAACCCTAAAATAGAGACGAAACCCTAAATTGAATCGGAAACCCTAAAATCGAATCGATAAAATTGAATCGAAATCCTAAAATGAAACACTAAAATGAATCGAAACCCTAAAATTGAGAAAGAAGAAGAGAGAATCGGAGACCCTAAAATCAGAGAAGACGAGAATCGATCAACATTACCTCTGTAGATTCACGAGAGGTTGATCGGAGAACACAAGAGGTTAATCGGAGAACACGAGAGGTTAATCAGAGAACACAAGAGGTTAATCGGAGAAGAATAGCGGTTAATCGGAGAAGAAGAGAGAATCGGAGAAGACAAACGAAATTAGGGTTTTCGGTGTAAGCGGCTGGGTTTGAGCGAAGCTCAAACTAGGTCATCCGTATATATAGATATTTGACACGTCGCACTTCCCTCGCAATGTTTGCTTGGATTTTGCGAGGAACCGCCAGAACAACCAATCAAAACGAGGCATATATTGCGAGGGCATTACGAGGCATCCTAGCACATCCCTCGCAAAATCTTAATTAGATTTTTAAAAAAACCACAAAGACATGATTAAAAATGCTTAATCATATATGATTCATTTATTCTTATTTATACTATGATTCATTTACCACAACCAATTCTTATTTATTCATTTATTCTTATTTAATTATACTATATGATTCATGATTAAAAACCACAAAGACATGATTAAAAATATGTATAAATATTTTAAATAATTTAGGGTTTAGGGTATAGTTTTTCGAGGGAATTACTACGACCGGCTTGCAAATCCCTCGTAAATTACCTCGCAAAACCCTCACAAAACCCTCGCTAAAACAGAAATAGACAATAAAACACTACTAAAAATATTTTTTGAATCATTAGGAAGTTAATTATCTTTATTACAATCTACTCCATCATCAAATTTTTCGAATTCGTCCGAATGTGCATTTTTCCAAATACATCAATGAGGTCTATATGTTTCTCTATTATATGGATCAAAGTATGTATAACATTTTCAATAGAAAATGTTAGTATTGAAACCTATGGAATTTTTGTTTATGCATAACCACATATTCAACTTGCCCGATTATATGGTCTACTGGATTCACTTTTATATATGAAAATCAAAGTTCGCAAAACACTTTCACGTATTTTAGGGTTTAGGGTAAAGATTTGTGAGGGAATTGCGTGTTATTTGCGACGGATAAGGTTGTTTCCCGCAAACTACTTGTAAATCCCTCGCAAATTTGCGAGGGAAATATCCATCGCAAATTTTGCGAGGGAAGTACGACGCGCGTCCACGTCGTAGCAAATTACTTGCAATGCCCTCGCAAATTTGCGAGGGATTGTTTCCCTCGCAAAGTTACCTCGCAAATCGACTGTTTTCTTGTAGTGCATTACCAACCGAAGATCGCTCCCTCCCATCTTCATCAATCGTTCGGACTTTCTCAACATTCTGAAACCTTTTCCTAGCCATCTTTATGCACAATAATTGATTGAACATAACAAGAAATCTCAAACAACAATCGATCCAACACCACAATTGAAGAAAAGGAAGGAGGAGTAGTTATCCCTAATTTCACGAAGAGAATGAAAAAGGAGGAGGAGCTCTTTGATCCGCTAGATGTCCCGCTCATAAGTGTCCTGCCTTTGGGTGCGTCAACTAAGGAGGATACTCTAAGTTGGCATTTCACAAAATCCGGAAAAAATACACAGTTAAATCAGGATATTATACGGCGCGATTAGAAAATTTGGATGACAATTTATCTTTTATCGGGCTAGATAACAAATCACTAAAAGCACATACTTGGAAAGTGCAGTGTCCACCAAAGTTACGTCATTTTTTGTGGCAAATATTATCAGGTTGTGTGCCCTTTACGAATTTTTTTTCGGAAAAGAGATATAAATTGTGATACAGGATGTGTCAGATATGGCACTTTAGAGAAAACAATCAATCATATACTCTTCCAATGCCATCCAGTGCGATAAATATGGGTACTTTCACAGATTCTTGCGGATCCCGAAAATTTTCCCTCGGCTTCTATTTACGAGAATTTGGATCACTTATTTGGAAAATACCTTTAGAAGTCGATCCATGGATGTAAGGAATGAAAAGATCTTTGATAATGTGGATACAGATCCTTTATAGGTATTACATTTAGCAGAAAAAGTGGCACAATCGTGTCACTTAGGTCAAGTCGAGTGTCTTTTCCAACCGAATGGCTGGCATTTTCAGTGTATTTGGAAGAGTTTCAGAGCAATAATAAAGAATTCACAAGCTTCTCTTTATCTTTAAACTTTCGTTGTGCAAATGTTAAAACAGATAATTTGGTACGAAAAGTTCGTAGCGAACCACATCATATTACATATGTAAAACAACATTCTTAAGGAATGATTGTTTGAGCTCTTATTAATAATTTTTGACCAAAAAAAATACTCTTTTTGTTTATCATTCAATTCTGTGGCATCATTTTAACAATATATATATGTTATTGGTAACCATTCTCATTATCCATTTTTAATTACTTATACAAAGATCATATTTAATTACTTAGAAATAAAAAGTGTATGTTTGATAAGAATGGGTTATAGCATTTCCACGCGCACGATCAGCCGTCCGTTCATTGACTTAAACCTAATCAAATTTGATTGGTTTTTTTTGTCAGCTTATAATGAGTCATTAGTTAATTAATTACTTTCTTGGTTTTGATTAATGCATAAAATAATTACTAATATCAACAATAAGTGTCACCTTCAACAACCGAGTCTCTCATTCTCATTTCTCCCCTTCACATCTCTCATTTTCGTTCCCCTGAAAACATTAGACTTATTTAAAAAATCTTGTTCCAACTCACTCAAATTTTTTTTTTTTTTTTTTTAACTCACTCAAATTTCATATGGATGTAACTTATTTAAAGTGGTAGACTATTAGTTAATTACATGAACAAAATAGTCTACCAACTTCTAAAATTGTTCTTAACTAATCACGATCATTTTTCTCTAACTACAACAATGACGTCCCCCGATGCTTAATATATCTATAGACTTGCACATTACCTTCCTTACCTTAGCTAAAAGTCCTAATAAAATTTCACATTACTTAATGGGTTTTGTGCAAAACAACTTTCAAAGTCGTCCATTTTTGCAACTTTACCCTCTACCTCCGAAAAATGCAGAATAATTCTACGAAGTTAAAAATAATACGCAATATAGCATTTTTTGTTATTGTTAAGTTTTTAAAAATTTGATAAGTAATATATCAAATCGAAGCCCTCAAAACGAGGAGTTCAACTCTACCTTTAGATTTTTTAAAATCAAATGTATGTGATCGTGAATACGTTTACAATATATATATATATATAAGGGCTTTATTGCGTATTATTTTTGTTTTTCGTATGATTATTTTGCATTTTTCGGAAATGGAGGGTAAAGTTACAAAATTGGACGACTTTGAGGTTTTTTTCCACAAAACCCTTACTTTATCTTATCATACAAGACGACCTTTGTCGATATGTCTAATGGATTATGACTTCTCAAGATTTTTTCAAGAATCAAACTTCCATCTTTCAAAGTTGGTATGTATGATTGATACATATTTTCCGTGGTCATGACCCAGCTCTTGCATAAAACTGTAATCACATTATCTCCTTCGTTGTTTCCGTCATACCAATATATATATATATAGTCATTTCACAACTTGATACAGCTACGATATTCTGACAAATATAATACTACGAAAAGAGTAAATATGAGATTTTTTTTTTTGTCGAATATGTTATTGGAGTGTTTTTGTCAACTTAATTTTCTAACCACTTTCACCATAGCCACAAAAAATATATGTTAACCAATCACAACGACTGTAACTAGTAATAGATTTGCTTTCTTATTGTTGACTTGCTCAAACAAATCCTCAAGTGCCAAGGTATTCTATACACTATTTATAAATTAAACATCCGTATAAGTCCATGCTTTTGGGATCGATACAATAGAATGATAGTTCTCCTAGTTATTTAATGTTTTCTTACATTTCTAACAATATACTCACGTCACAACTTGATAGATCTATGATATTTTGTTACTTCGAAACCCAACAAATTTTAGTACCACCAAAAGTGTAAACATACTTTGATATATATAAGACTATTTTTGTTATTTGAGTTTTCTTTGTCAAATTGTTATTTGTTTTTGTTTTTTTTTTTTTCAACTTGTTATTCTCCAACTGCTTCCTCCAACCACTAAAAACAATTGATAACCGCTTTAAACTTAAAACCAATCATAGTAAGAGAACTTTTTTTTCCATATTGTAGACTTGCTCAAATAAATCCTCAAATGCAAAGGTCTCCTATATATACACCAATTATAAATTAAACATATGTATTAGTCCCTGGTTTTGGGATTGATACATGACAAATATATTTTCTCCTAGTTGTTTCTTTTTCTTGCATTCATTATGTTCTTCATAAGTATATATTAATAACATAATAGATACAGGTGAACCTGGATTTATCTCCCCCCCAGGGATTTGTATAGGTCTGATCTTCTTCCTTTTTATATAATAGAAATATTAGGATGTATTGAATTACCAATGACTAAATGCAGATTTTAACTCATGCTTCAAATATATAGAGAAAGACAAAGCTTTCTTTAAGCTCTATAATTAGCTGTTCATATCTATGGGTATCAAGACCTGGTTACAAAAAAAAATACTTTATTCCAGAGATGATTATAATGTTTTATTAATTGACATTTAATTATATCCATTACTTGTCATGATCCTATATATAATACACACATCAAACTCATCTCAATCATTCTTTCAATACTCTCACATTACTTATCGGATTTTCATTAAGATTAATTAGTCTATTGATAAAGTCGCTTAGTGATCAAAAATGGAAGCCATGGGAGAATGGAGCACCGGCCTAGGCGGAATTTATACAGAGGAAGCTGACTTTATGAATCAGCTTCTTGCATCCTATGAGCAACCTTGTGGCGGTTCATCTTCAGAGACAACCGCCACACTCGCGGCCTACCACCACCAGAGTTCTCACTGGAATGGTGGCTTTTGCTTCTCCCAAGAGAGCAGCAGTTACAGTGGTTACTGCACGGTGATGCCACGGCAAGAAGAAGACAACAATGGGATGGAAGACGCGACAATCAACACGAACTTGTACTTAGTTGGTGAAGAGACAAGTGAATGTGATGTGACGGAATACTCCGGTAAAAGCATCTTGCCTTTGGAGACTGTCGCAGAAAACCACGACCATAGTATGCTACAGCCTGAGAACTCCTTGACAAAGACCACTGATGAGAAACTGTTCAACCCATGTGAGAGTTCTAAGAAGAGGACTCGTGCCACATCAACTGATGTAAGTTGTATATACGTTTTATGTATTTATTTCGGAAACATGAATTTCATCGCAAAACACAATTAGAAATGAGTGGATTAACATTTTCGATATGAAATGTTAACAGTTTTATATAGCCGGGTGATTACACATACTAATTTCCAAAATTAGTAGCCGAAACCATAATTCTAAATATTTTAATGTTCTTGTAACCAAAACAGAAGAATAAGAGAGCCAACAAGGCACGGAGGAGCCAAAAAGGCATAGAGATGAGTGGCGATAATGAAAATATCGGCGAAGAAGAATATACGGAGAAGGCTGTAGGGAAGAGAAAGACCAAACCACTTAAGCCGCAAAAGACTTGTTGTTCGGATGACGAATCAAACGGTGGAGACACTTTCTTGTCCAAAGAAGATGGCGAGGACTCTAAGGCTCTCAACCTCAACGGCAAGACAAGGGCCAGCCGCGGCGCTGCCACAGATCCTCAAAGCCTTTATGCAAGGGTAAGTTTTTCATAAATTTCTATATTAAAGCTTTTTTCAGTCTTTATATAGTTACATTATTTAAAAACAAAAACATTTATTGTGGTAGATGAAACAATTAAACAAAGTCCATTTTTATGATGGTGCAGAAAAGAAGAGAGAGGATAAACGAGAGGCTAAGGATTTTGCAACATCTTGTCCCTAATGGAACAAAGGTACATATTACTACGTAACCACATCATTTTTTACTCGTTTTTTGTCTCTTTACTAAGTAAATTAAATGTGTTAAATATGTAACAGGTTGATATAAGCACGATGTTGGAAGAAGCAGTACAATACGTCAAATTTTTGCAGCTCCAAATTAAGGTACGTGTACGTTAGGTTTTCAATGATTTGAAGTCTTACAATATAAACAATGAAAAAAATTGTATTAATTAAAGATAGAGAATTATATATTGTTTATAATGAATAATGTTATATTACAGTTATTGAGCTCTGATGATCTATGGATGTATGCGCCCATTGCTTACAACGGAATGGACATTGGCCTTGACCTAAAACTCAATGCACTGACAAGATGATTCAAGAGACACCTTCGGATTTTTATTTTATTTTTTTTGTTTATATATATATATATATATAAATAATTTAATACGAGAGATATGAAGAGTCACATTTGACGTTTTATACTCCAATATTATTTTACTTTTGTATGTCGAGTTATGTCCAACAGTTTTTGATTCTTGAGATATATATTGATGTACGAACATCTTTTTGATAATGGATTTGTTTATTTTATTTCTTTTTTTGTTTGAATTATTTGATTCGTTTACGTCATACACGTAAATGATTTAATCAGAATTTAATACTCTAAGGCGCTTAATCTCCTTTGGATTTTATGCTTAAGCAGAATTTAATACTCATAGGATGCATTCGGGACTTTTAACATATTTCTGATCTTTTATAAACCATATTTAGACCTAAAGACATGACAAGGGAAAAAGTTGAAGGAAGAAAGAGCCGACCAGTCGGTCAATGATCTGACCTTGTTCGAGAACCTGGTATATAAGATGAATGTTGAGTTTCCAAACCCTAATTAATCAAGTTTGATTAGTAAAATATCTTTTGGGTTTATAACTTATCTTTGTAAAAACATGATCAATATCGTGATCTCCCTCTGCCAATCTAGAAACATTACTTATCTCATCCTTCATTATGTGATTTATGATATGTCTTCTTCCATTCTAGCTACTAGTCTCCTTCCAAATATTAATTAAGCAAGTGTGTAGTTTTCTAACTTGGGTCTTAGGGTAGATCATTGGTTAGTTTGGATTGATGATTTTAGGGTTAGGACACTTCAGATTCATTCAATAAAGGGTAAGGTTAATAGTAAGAAAAAAGAAAAAAACTTGATTACATTGTCTTTGAAAATAAGATATTTTGTGCACCACGAATATTCAATCAAAACGGAATGAGTATACAATTTTAATAAATGGGAGTTGATGTTAAGAAATATTAAGATCTTTTTGGATTAGAGTGTTAACGTTTGTTAATCACTTATATTAAAAATGAGATTTTAGTAGGTATAGGTGATTAAAATCTTAAAAGATGATTAGCTACAAAGTAATTATCCATTTTTAGGATTGTGCTTTAATTAGGCCATTGTTGGGGTCGGATTCCACCCGTACTAAGATCGAGCCAAACCGTAACATTTCGGGTACATTGACAGCCAGCTCGGGCCATCTTCCAAATCGGCTCGTGAAACACTGTGTCGATTTGGCTCGGGAACACTGACCAAATCGGCTCGGGGACTGTGCCGATTCGGCTCGTAAACATTGACCAAATCAGCTCGGGGCTGTGCCGATTCGGTTCGGACACTGACCAAATCGGCTCGGGGGACACCGACTAGATTAGCTCGGGATGCGACGGTTCGGGATGGCAGTAACGTTTCACTTTAACCCGAGCCGAATGCACACGCTATCCCGAGGCGGTGTTAACAATACCCGAGGCGGTGTTAACAATACCCGAGGCAAAGCCTCACTACTCCCCGAGGTGAAATATCAGTGCTACCCGAGGCAAAACGTATGTTGTACCCGAGGAGGAATGCACCAAGACACCCCGAGGCAAGGACTTGGTAAATATTCATCTTCAAAGTGTCATTTCTGAACAGGATGGCATCATTTTCGAAAAAGAAAGATCATTTCCGAAATACTCGGAAATGATAAAGAAGAATCTCGAAGGATCAACTCAAATTAGGAAAACTTCCGGAAACTCCGAAGAATAAGGAAAGTATCCTAATCCGCGATATTCTAAGCCGACTTTAGGATAAATGGAAATCTTCCGAGAATATCGCTGGAGAGGCGGTTTACCGTCCCTATATAAAAAGACTCAAGGCTCTTACATAAAAAACAAGCAATAACGCTCTAGAATTAGACTATACAAAGCTCTAAAGCAAAACACTTTTCTTTTTATGATCTAACTCTTTGTACGATCAAAGCTACTCTTTTCATCAATAATATCAAGAACACCATCTTTGCTTACTATTCGTTCTGTTGTTCTTTGAGAATTCTTGCAAGTCGTATTCCTAAAATAAAACCCTAGACAAATCTCGATTGTGTTAATTAGTTTCGACTTCCACAGCCATTGCATCTTAATCAATTCAAAAATAATGCTTATCTTTGATTGATCCCTTTGACCCCAACATGTATTTTACTTGCTTCGTTTAATTGTTGAACTGGTTGTTTGCTTGCATGATTTACATGTTTGATCCAAATGCAGAAGACCTGAAAGTGCTACCGGTAGAAAATGAGAGGCCGCATCTTTCAGTTTTTCTTTTTGTTTTTTACATTTTTCAGCTTATATACATATATGACTTATATTTTTTTAAATTAAGAATGTAAATATCATTAAGAATGAAATGTTGCTGTTTTACAAAAATTTACAACAATATAATTATAATCTAGACGAACTAACCGAATCGCACAGCGGAGAACCCGAGTTTAAAGTTATGATTTCCTGGAGTGGCCTCATTAGTGATAGGTTGAAGCTTAAAAATGTGTTTCGAAATGACCTGACCTTATATATATATATATAAGTGTTTGGGTGGCGTTTAGACTTCCATGTGATTTATCAGTGGTGTAGAAGTGTTGATAAGTATGATAACTACCATATGCATACTGAGGAATTAGAAATGTTGCTATTATCTCCTAGGTCTTATCAAACAAAACCTAGTTCCGGACAAGGCTTGGCAAAATATCTGGAATTTGAAGTCGGATCCGAGAACCAGTCTGAATCTACAAAATAGAGTTTCAAAATTATTACCCTAATAAATATGCTCTAAAGTATATATAAAAGAGCACTTTTTTTTAATTTTTATATTAAACTATAATTTTTTTTTATTTTTTTTTAATAATGAAAGATATTTTATTTTTTAATAATTTTTAATTAGTTTTACGGATCAGGATTCCTAGGAATGTCATGATTTTTGGATGGAACAACATACAATATAAGTAACTAGGTGACTGTCCGCGCAAATGCGCGGAAAATATCATGTATAAATGGTAAAATCATGAGAAATAAGAGAATGTTATCATTGTTATATCCAAATTCATCAATCAGCAAATGATTTCTACCTTTATCAAGAGCTCTTTCATCAGGCTGTAGACGATCATCAATTTTGTTTTTGTTTTTTTATCATGGTTATAGCCAAATTTTTAAATCAAAAAATGATTTATACGTTTATCAATAGTTCTTTCATGAGATTGCATAAAACCAATAATTTTGATCATTTTTTGTTATCATGGATATAGCCAAACTCGTAAATCAGCAAATGATTTTTATGTTTATCAAGACTCTTTCATCAGGCTGCAGAAAAACCGTCAATTTTGCTCTTTTTTTTCGTTACCATAGCTATAGCCAAAATAATAAGTAAGCAAATGATTTCTACGTTATTAAAGAGGTCTTTCATCCGGCTGCCAAAACAGTCAATTTTGCTCTTTCTTTAGTTATCATGATTATACCCAAACTCATAAATCAGCAAATTATTTATACGTTTCTTAGGAACTTTTACATGAGGCTGCAGAAAACCGTTGATTTTTTTGTTGTTACCATGGTTATAACCAAACTCATTAATCAGCAAATGCTTTATACGTTTATTCAGAGCTCTTTCTACATAGTATTGTAGAAAACAGTCTATTTTACTCCTTTTTTATTATCAAGGTTATAGCCAAACTCATCAATTAGCAAACGATTTCTACGTTTATCAAGAGTTTTTTCATGAGAGTGCAGAAAACCATCAGTTTTGCTCATTTTTTTATTTATCATTGTTATAGCCAAACTCATCAATCAACAAATAACTTTTACGTTTTTCAAGAGTTCTTTCATCAGACTTGAGAAAACTGTCAATTTTGTAGCTTTTTCCATTATCTTGATTATAACTGAAACTCCTCAATCAACAAATGATGTGTACGTTTATCAAGAGCTCTTCTATCAATTATACTGCTTTATTTGTGATCATGGTTATAGCAAAACTCTTCAATCAGCAAATGATTTCTACATTTTTCAAGAACTCTTTCATTAAACTATAGAAAACTATCAATTTTGCTCTTTTTTTTTTTGTTATCATGGTTATAGCCAAACTCATCAATCAACAAATGATTCTACGTTTATCAAGAGCTCTTTAATCAAGCAACAGAAAACCGTCATTTTTTTCGTTTTTCGTTATCATTGTTATAACCAAACTCATCAATCATCAAATAATTTCTATGTGTATCAAGAACTCTTTCATCAGGTTGCATAAAACCGTCAATTTTGTACCTTTTTTTGTTATCTTTGTTTTAGCTAAACTCATCAATCAACAAATGATTTTGACGTTTATGAAGAGCCCTTCTACAGATTGAAGAAAATCGTATGTTTTACTCTCTTTTTTTTATCGTGGTTAAAGCCAATTAGCAAATAATTACTACGTTTGTGAAGAGCTTTTTCATGAGGCTGTAAAAACCGTTAATTTTGCATCTCTTATTTTGTTATCATGGTTATAGACACACTTATTAGGCGATAAATGATTTCTATGTTTATCAAGAGCTCTTTCATCATGCTGTAGAAAACTGTCATTTTTACTTTTTTTTCTTTATCATTATTATAGCCAAACTCATCAATCAACAATTGATTTCTACGTTTATCGAAAGGTCTTTCATAAGACTGAAAAAGCCGTCAATTTTGCTGTTTTTTTTTCTGTTATCATGGTTATAACTAAACTCTTCAATCATCAAATGATTTCTACATTTATCAAGAGTTATTTCATCAGAATCAAGAAAACCTTCAAATTTGCTCATCTTGTTTTGTTATCATGATTATAGCCAAACTCATCAATTAACAAATGATTTATATATTTATCAATAGCTCTTTTATGGGGTTCCAGAAAACTATCAATTTTGTCTTTTTTTTTTTTTTTTTGCGTCATCATAGTTCTAGCCAAATTCATTCATTAACAAATGATTTATACATTTTTTAAGAGCTCTTTCATCACTCTGCAGAAAACCGTCAATTTTGCTCCATAAACAAATGTCATGAGGCTGCAAAAAAAGTCAATTTTTTTTTTAAAGTTATCATAGTTATAGCCAAACTCATCAATCATTCAATGATTTCTATGTTTATCAAGAGTTCTTCATCATATTGTAGAAAACCATCAATTTTGCTCTCTTTTTTTGCATGTTTATAGTCAAACTCATCAATTAGCAAATGACTTCTACGTTTATCAAAAACTCTTTCATCGGAATGCAGAAAACCAGAGATTTGTTTTTTTGTTTTTCGTTATCATTGTTTTAGCCAAACTAATCAATCAGCTAATGATTTATACGTTTATCAAGAGCTCATTCGTCATATTGCAGAAAACTTTCAATTATGCTACTTTTTGTTATCATGGTTATAGCCAAACCCCATAATGAGCAAATGATTTATACTTTTATATAGAGCTTTTTTATGAGGCTCGAGAAAACTTTCTATTTTGCTCATTTTTTCTGTTTTTATGGTTATTGCCAAACTCATCAATCAGCAAGTGATTTATACGTTTATCAGGATCTCCTTCATAAGACTGCAAAAAATTGTCAATTTTGCATCTCTTGTTTTGTTATCATGATTATAACTAAACTCTTTAATCAGCAAATGATTTCTATATTTATCAAGATCTATTTCATCAAAATGCAGAAAACCTTCAAATTTGCTCATTTTTTCTGTTATCATGGTTATAGCCAAATTTTTCAATCTCAAAAATGATTTATACGTTTATCAATAGCTCTTTCATGAGATTGCAGAAAACCAATAATTTTGATCTTTTTTTGTTATCATGGATATAGCCAAACTTATAAATCAGCAAATGATTTTTATGTTTATCAAGAACTCTTTCATCAGGCTGCAGAAAAACCGTCAATTTTGCTCATTTTTTTCGTTACCATAGCTATAGCCAAACTAATAAGTAAGCATATGATTTCTAAGTTATTAAAGAGTTCTTTCATCCGGCTGCCAAACCAGTCAATTTTGCTCTTTTTTTAGTTATCATGATTATACCCAAACTCATAAATCAGCAAATTATTTTTACGTTTCTTAGGAACTTTTACATGAGGCTGCAGAAAACCGTTGATTTTTTTTGTTGTTACCATGGTTATAACCAAACTCATTAATCAGCAAATGCTTTCTACGTTTATTCAGAGCTCTTTCTACATAGTATTGTAGAAAACAGTCTATTTTACTCCTTTTTTATTATCAAGGTTATAGCCAAACTCATCAATTAGCAAACGATTTCTACGTTTATCAAGAGTTTTTTCATGAGAGTGCAGAAAACAATCAATTTTGCACATTTTTTTTATTTATCATTGTTATAGCCAAACTCATCAATCAACAAATAACTATTACGTTTTTCAAGAGTTTTTTCATCAGACTGGAGAAAACTGTCAATTTTGTTGTTTTTTCCGTTATCTTGATTATAACTGAAACTTCTCAATCAACAAATGATTTGTACGTTTATCAAGAGCTCTTCTATCAATTATGCTGCTTTATCTGTAATCATGGTTATAGCAAAACTCATCAATCAGCAAAAGACTTCTAAGTTTATCAAAAACTCTTTCACCAGGGTGCAGAAAACCAGAGATTTTTCCCTTTTTTTTTCTTCTTTATCATTGTTTTAGCCAAACTAATCAATCAGCTAATG